CGATTCGCGCGATTCGCTAGCGTCCGCGGTCGCGTTGCGGTACCAGCCAATTGAGTGATTCACTGGCCGCGACGCGACCGCAGACGCTAGCGAATCGCGCGATTCGCAAAGTCTGACATCGGCCTAATGAAGCAAGCTGTGGTTCTGGTTAACTCACTAGAGCAACGTTTAGTCAAGCTGCCTTATCATCCCTCCTTTATTTCATTTGCCAAGCTGTCATATATTTGTTTTCAGGTCTTTTTGGAAAGAAATAGTCTCAGCAGTGCCCATTTAACCGGTCGTCAGAGATGTTGTTGACATTCCGAAGTGCTACTGATTTACATTGCGTTATGTACTTCCATTATTGTATTTTTATGTGATAAGTAGATAATTTGGTCTAGGGGCACAATCAAATGAATAATCTACAAATGCGGGTGGTGGGGTTCAGTGATCAATCTTGGGATATAAACTGGAGCCACAAGAGATAACGAAGCCGCGGAAAACACGAAAAATGATTTTAGTTGTTGATCTTGAGCATTGCACTTTTTTTTACGAAGGCGAAGCTTGATGAGTTGGCCTTTCGTTCAAGAATTTGGAACAAAATGACGCTTTTTTTGCTAGAAATGTGCTAGAAAATAAAAAGAAAATTTGCTAGGAAAGCCTATTCTGCATTTATATCTTTACTTTCATTGTCATGAATGTGGTACTAGCTTATTAGCAAAGAAATTCAGGAACTTCCAATTTGTCTCGTTTTTCTCTTTTTTATGTGTGATTCAATGGGCCTGGCTTGTTTATAGCAGTGGAAATAAAGAGTAACAATTATATGATGTCGTATAACTTCGTATACTGGCGGAAGAAAAATAAAATGCACAGATATGTGTAGGATTCGGTGTTCTATTGTTCTATGAGCTTCCCCTCTCACACTCCACTCGATCTCAAGTTCGAAAGAATTTTGGGCGGTGTGTTCAAATGATGGCAGGTTCACACTTTCGTCACCATCGATCATTGGAGGGAATCGTATGTGGGCTTGTTTCAGTAGGGGGAGATGAAATTTTTGAAATCAGCACTACGTAACGATTGATCCCGCCTGGTTGACGGATGTATTGGATATTGGAGGTGAGAGGAGGACGGAGGTAGGAGTACCTAGATTGTCAGAGCCAAGGCTATCGTAGGAGGAAGAACTGAAGGTGTGTGGTAGGGTAACCACCTCCAGGGGAAGGGATGGGCATCAGCGAAATTTTCGCGGCGCAATAGTTAGTTGAATAATGCTATATTTTTTCAGAGACAACATCCAGCTACTCACCTGAATATAAGAAACTTCACTGCGATGAATAATACAGCCTGTAGCGCGACCTTTTCTCCAATTTGGACTCCTCCCGTAGAACGCCGAAAAGCGCTTCGCTGTGACTTCCGAAAAATCTGCAAGACAAAGTTGTCACTAGAGTCAAGAAAAAGGAATTTCAAACGTCGAACTGAAGTAGACTCGCATATTTCGCGTATGCAGGGTGAGGTCGCTATCATCCGCGCTTGTGATACCCAACATGTAGCTAGAAAATGGCTGGAGAAAAAATGGGATGACAACTGACGTCGGATGCATGATGCAGTGACACGTGTGCTTCTGCAGAAGACGCCAGTATATTAATCGAGCCTTTCAGCAATCAGATTTTCCCCGAAAAAAAGAATCGCTAGAATTCAAAGAATGAACTTTGTCTAAGCTCTAGAATTTCCGTTAAAGACCGTCTACGGTAATCTAATAAGAGCCTAAAGCAAATACTGAAAGAAAGCGATCCTTACATCAAACGTTACGATCTGTCTGTTCACCCCCTCCCTCAAACCCTCGTCCGGTTGGACCGGTCGCTCCGATTTGCCCTAACTCACCTTTCTCCGCTTCTCAGACTCCGGTGGACGCGATATTCGGTAAGGACACTGAGTATCAGGATGGTGGCGACAGGACCGACCGTCTGCGTCAACGTCATCAGAATCGCCTTGTATCGTGTAAACTGAAAAGAAAGGTGGTCTCATGAATAATGAACACATTATGGGTTTACTATTAGCCACACTCAACTTGATGAAAATCTATCAGGTGTCACCTCCCTTTTGGTATCTGCTTTTATTCTAGCTAAGTACATCCCCCTTTTGAGCTCTCCCTCGTAAGACTAAGGATAAAATGATATTGAACTACTCATTCGAAGAACACTTTTGATAAGAGCCGATGGATGTACTACATTCCACACACACCTGCTCCCACCACATCCAATTTTCCGCACCAGGTCATCCACCCTAGGGCGCGCGCTTCACTACCAACAAGGGAGGTCTTTCAGGGCAAGGTGCGCTTTTTCAAAACGGTTTTGTGCATATTGTAGGGACGCATGTAGGGAACGCAAAACCATGTTTCATTTTCGCTGAACGGTTATAGCAGTACCAAAAAAGAAGCGCATAAGGTACTGTTAAACCCAACAAAGTTTGAATCCCCCTTGGAACCAGTAACTTTTGCCCATTTGCACCGCGCCCTACGTTGGGGCAGATCGCGTAATTACTTCAAAATCAGATGTGAAATCATCGTCCAGGAAATTACACGGTGAAACAACCGCTGCCGCCAACCTTGATGCAAAAATTACGTCCCCTGCGAGGGATTGAACCATCAAAGTAGTATCACCCCCCTTTAGTACCCGAAACGTCAGCCGAACGAAACATGGTTTGTGTCCCGTACAAAGCCGTTCCACCAAAGCGCAACCTGAACACTCCTTGTAACGGCCAGGCAAGCTTTCCACTGCCTCTGGTCAGGACCATTTTCTCAGCCATTGCGCCACCTAAGGAAGTACTCCTGCACAGCCACACGCTACTTACTCAGAAACCCACACCAATGCTCGATAACGACACACAACCTAAGTATTGGGAACACACAAAGGAGTTCCCCTCCCCTGACTGGGTTTTCACCCTTCGAATTTGAGCAACGAGTTTCCGGTCAACATGGCTGATGAGCGAAGACTACGTGATCCTTTCAATGAGCCCTAACTCTCATAATTGAGTAGAAATTGGTCCTGTCGTTGACCGCTTCGAGCTACCTTGTGTATTATCATTCAGACACGACACTACGTTGTAGGAAACTGCGGATACAATTTTGCAAATATCACGAATCCAATTTTGCACATGACTTATGTTACGCGCATTTCATGAGGCACCTACCGAGTGCCGGAATACTGGTGGGAGCTGGGCAGGAGGCTTCGACGCCGTGTTCCGTGTCGAAACAGCGTTCCACGGTAAATTCGAAATACACAGGATGTTGACCGCAAAGCAAAGAAAAATCACCATCCCTGCAACAGGCAAAAATCCGTTCGAGTTCATTATCAGTAATATATCAATTTAATTAAAACAAAAAAAACAAAACTTAGATTTAGTGGTCAGTCCCCTTACTACATTATCGTTACTCAGCGAGCGTGAACACTCTACAAGCAGGCAAACTTCTGAGAGATGAGGGATCAGATGAGGGAAATGTTTCCTTTCGCAACGGCACAAGTGATTAAGAGGAACTCTAAATACAAAATCATCGCAAATTTAATCGTTACGGAAAATCCTGCCTTGCGATTGTCGCTTTATCCGTGATCGGTCTTTACTACCCTGGTAGCGGTATATGAGTGAAGAAAGAAAGCTTAGCTTGGTCGACAGGGGCCCAGACGGAATTTTATTCTTAAAGCTGTTGTGACAGTGTTTTAGACACACCTGGTAGAAGACAAGATCGGAAGTATTCACGAAGCGGTAATTGTTCCTTGGTGGTGCTTGTTTTTAGACTGGTCCTGCCTTTCTGCGATCCAGCAATGGAATCGAGTTCCGTCACCATCGATGCTCTTCGCTGCTTCAAACTCTGCAAGTAGAATGACAATGCTTAATTTATAGCTTTGAGCCGAGTTCGAAGATCACTTGTTGTCACAGTAGACACAGAAGAATTGATTGCTCTCAACCTATAAACTAAAAAGATGGAGGTTCACTCCAGTCCCATGTTAACCATAATATTCACTCGTGACAATCCACAACTTACCATCCGCCTTTCACGCTTGGATCAAGTGGCTGCCTACCAAAAACCCGTCCTTTAAAGGCACGGTTCGGGATTTTTGGTCAAAGTTAGGCTTTTCCCAAGAAAAGTGCAGCTGACTGCAAAAGGAAAACACATACACAACTTTCGAGATTATTTGACAGGGCCGAGGAGCTAAGGCCCTAGGATGCAGCTTTGGCCCGGCCCAACACCACTGAACCCCCCCCCCCCCCATCCACCCCCTCAAATCAGTGTGGAGAGAAGGGTTTTATTTTCGGCCTTGTCAACGACTTCCCATTTTTCCATCGATGGTATAACACTTTACATCTCCACTATGCTTCACAATTACACACCCATTCGATCCCAGACCTTGCCTTTAAGGCCTAGCCGCCTTAGCGATTGGCATGAAATTATCGACCTACCGCTCTTTTAGATCGGGCCGATTGGTGGGATGAGGCATATCGCAACGGACGCATCACGACCATGAAGCGAAGGAACGTGATGTAAATTACCAGCATCGTCTGAAAGTCGTATACATTTATTGATGAGGTACATCCTGAACCAATGACACCAAAGTCCACTTTCATTTTTTGCGTAAGTACACACTACTTTATTGTTTGTACCATTTATTTTTACTCGATAGTGGTTTTCTAACGTTTTTTTTTGTTTTAGAGCAACAAAACGTTCAAAACAGAAACCATAACAAAAACTACTCATTTTTTTAATGAAATGGTGCCCCGGTAGCGTAACTGGTAGCGCACTTGCCCGGAAAGCGAGAGGTGCGGGTTCTAGTCCCGCCTGGGGCGAAAGTTTTGTTCACAACCCAGCATTCTTGTGGAAAAACCACTCATTTTATCGCTTTTTTTAGGTTTTACACAAGGTGTTCATTTTATTTTTCATTTAGGTTGATTTTACCTTATTAGTCTCATTGGCATAGCCATGGGTATCAGAGCCCCACACATGATGTTATTCACATAGGGTACATTACTACATTATTTATTCTTTACTAATATTTCCTTAGTATTGCACTGAAGGGCCTAGCTGTCGTGAGACTCATTTGTTTGTCCTGTGGTTTCATGTCGCTTCGTTGATGTTTAGTTGTATTTATATTTACTTAATTCGGAGCTGTGTTAATGGCGAACTTATGTGGAATAAACAAATAAGCGCAAATAAGTACGACGTAATTCAAACCAAAACTATTATGTGTGAGCCATTCTTCTATTGAAAAAGCTTCAGGGAACGCGACGTGTAGTTAGTGAGTAATCTTTGAAGGCAAACTCCGGGATAAAACGTGGTACTTATCTGTTCAACTATGAAGTACTGGGTGCTAAGTGAATCGAAGCTAAGAAAAAAGCAGGAAATACTCTCCAAAGAAGTCCAAAATAAGAAATTCTCTCGTTAGTCGCTTAGAAGCCAGGGCTGGGAGAATTACGTGTCTTTACATGTCTACAGCAACTGTTGGCTTTATGCCAGCAACCGACACGGCTAAAAAAAGTCAGCAATGAAAATTGATTGCTTCTAATTTCGCTATTTTTTCTATTTACCTGCGCTTTTTTTGTTTTTTTCCTATCTCAAAAATTAGACTATCACTAGAATGAAAGACTAGGTTCTCAATAATGGTCTTAACCTAGGCTTTGATGTTGGTTTTCGCAATTGAAATCCGCTAAATATTCCTCTACGACCTTCCAAATAACAACTTAACATCTTGTGTTTTATGTGGTTGTTTGGAAGATCGCACGGAAAGTGGGCGGGCTCAATGGGGTTGGGGCGGCGCCAATGCTCCAACCTAGGCTCCCAGCGCCTAAACCTTGTCAAATCGCCCCCCACTTCTGCACATGGTCTGCCCTTGCGTACTGCTGCATATTTGACGGGGAAAACCTGAATTTTGCCAGAAATCCCGAACTTTGCCTTTAAAACCGTGTTTCTGTAGGTGACTTTCAACCTGGAGTTTACGAGGCCTGGCGCCTTGCTTTACCTGACTTGCCTGTTCCACGAGGGCTCCCCTCTTCTGATGTCTTTAAGTTCAGACAAATTCCTATGACCCTTAGGCCGACTGGTGCAGGTACTTAACTGAATTCCACTCGCGGTCACCCATATTTGAAAGGTTTCCTTCTCATCACGGGAAGTCGTCTATGGTTTTCTTCACTCTAACTACCCATTGCCACTCAGATAATGCTCCAGCAGAAACCACCGAGTTACGGGCCGCAGCAGTGTCGGCAGCATATGCTGCCGACACGCCCACTCGTCCGTGATTGGCTACCACCACAAAGGTTACTGCGTGCAGACACGAGCCAGCCAGTCAGAGACTAGTGGGCGTGTCGGCAGCATATGCTGCCGACACTGCTGCGGCCCGTAACTCGGTGGTTTCTGCTGGAGCATTAATATCTTCGTATAGCATACAAAGGAAACAGGCCCCCAAGCTTGTGCGCCCTGAAGCTTCTCAGATGGTGTGCTGAGCCCATCCTCTTCCTAATCGATATTAGTTGGGGCTATTACGTAGTGAGTTTCAAGCGCGCAGTCAAGTACGCAGGGAATTCAAAAAATAAACAAATTAATTAATTAAATTAATTAATAAATAACAGGTAAATAACAGGTAAAATAAAGAACAGGTAAACAAATAAGTTGTTGATAAATGAATAGATAAAAATGCATACGCTATACGCAATTGTACACAAGAAGTACAAATAAATAAATAAATAAATAAATAAATAAATAGGTAAATAATCAGATAAATAAATACGTACACAATTAAATGAATAGATAAATAATGAACAAATAGATAAAAACGCATACGCTATATTGATAGTACTACTCACTGTTAGGAAGACTTATTATAGGACAGGCTTATATGGGATTCTTAGTGCTTTGTTCAGACTTCTCCCTATTCGTCATGAAAGCCATCTCTCGCAATCAAGTTGCTCACTGACATGAGCTGGTTTGTATGATTAATTACTTTCCCAGGATCAATCCTGTGGCGAAGACGAACTCTAGAGGTTTTGATGGCATTGACGAGGATGGTTTGAAAAAGGAGCGTTTGGTGGTTGTGGTTCACAACATTAGCATAACAAAGGATTTAAACAAAAGGACCGGACCTAATTATTGCGAGCTTAAAAAATGCTCCCCATGAAACATCAGTTGTAACCAGTCTAGGGGGGGGGAGGGGGTGAGGGCAGTCACTTGACATACGTGAAAAGCTGGAATGTTCGAGTTCACCGAGAAACTGCATCATGATGCCCCCTAACTGGAATAGACCCCAAAAATGGATACTCTGCACTCAGCAATATTGCCGGCACCCCGCATTCTTTTCGAATATTCCACCAGTATTAACCTTCACAAATAACTATGGTGCTCGAACTGAAGTTTGCTTCCTAAAAGGACAGTGCAGCAATTGACTTATGCAGTGAGTTATTCAAATTGAATTTGCTCACTGGTTGAGCCGAATTAAGTGACAGGAAAGAGTCTCTCTTTGATCACCGTATCCGGCGGATAGATTGGAAGGCAATGCAATTACGCTAACCTTTGCAAGATTTATGCGGTGCATTGCGGACTACGTGGCCGCAAAAGTGAGGCGATACTTTCGAAATATTGGTTTTACTCGCTATTATTTAGGAACCTTGCTGCATTTTTGTATATGCTCCATGGTGGTCCACCAGGCGAGTACTTTCCGAAATAGAGTTTGAACTGAGTGGCTTGGAAAGCCTATTTTCATGGTTGAAGGGTGGTAGGACCCGAATGGGCAGATGCGCCACGTCAATGCGATGTCCATTATTAATTCATGTTCCTTATCTTCTCCCTTCAGATAGTTCGAATCGTGAGATATTCTGGCCCAACCCTCCGGCGCGGTTAGAGGAATGATTGGACCTTCGTCGTCCTTCCACGATCGACGTCTCCACATTAGCTCCCCTCCCACCCATCGCAATCACTGCCTTTAATTTCTTCCGCCCATTTATGTGAAGATGTTCACTAAACAACAAGGAAAAAAGAATTTGGAAAACTGTTAGTTCTTCTGTGCCACACGAGGTTGAAAATTGGAACCTTTTTATTAAGTGGCCTGACGTTTCGACCTTTTCGTCTTCTTCAGAGGCCTGAAGATAGCTCGAAGCTTTTTGATCTTGTAATCTACCCGACCAAGCACCTCCCCCTCTAGCGTTTCCGACGTCGTGTTGAGAAACACCTCGGAATCACCCAATACGATAACGAACTCACCAAAGGTTCCACCAGTTTTGCGGAGCATCAGCTCAACGCCCTGTTAGCAATATTAGCACGGGGCAAATGAAACCTCACTGAGGTCTCATGCTGCAAAATCGGTCAAAAACTGTCACTAAAGCACCGTACGCCAACTCTTCATAAATCACATCACAAAAAGGCGGCGACAGTCATTGGTACGATCGACAGACGGCACACATTTCGGTTATTCATTCATTATTTTCTGGCTGGGATGGAACACTCTACATCGACGTCGTCTCCGTTATGCTCCTCATTTTAAAGGAATCTTCCACGGAAAAAGCTCCGCCCTCATTACCACAGAAAACGATACCTTAAAGGAATCTTCCACGGAAAGAGTGATCATTTTGTCTTGTGTGTAGGATTAGTATTATCGAAACTAACGCTTATGTTCCGTTCTTTTTGCTATGCTCATGAGGCTACCTAAGGTATTCGTTTTCTGTGGTAATGAGGCGATTCTTCTTTTTGTAACATTCCTTTAAGCTTTGCAGTGGGGTGTCATTGTACCACGCCTTTTGCCAGCAAGGTGTTCATTAACGCGAGTAGCTAGTATCCTTCCTGTTTCTCCGTGATACGTGCTATTACAAACACCGACATACAAGCTGATAAATTGTCCCTACCTTTTCACAGTCTGCAACCCTACCATATGGACAAATTACACAGCCTGTTGTCGTACACTGCAAGTCGTGCAGTCTTTGCGAACAAAAAAAAAATTAAAAAATGATCTTGCATCAGTGAATATTCTTACAAGCAAGATTAAAGCGTCAACTTGTTCGCAGCACGACTGTATGACGGCAATGTAAGGACAACAAGCAAAGTCCTCGCAGGAGGGACCGATAATCTTCCAAAAACTCGAGAAATGGTAGTGCTGCCGACCCAGGCATCCTTAGGCAGATGTCAGACTTTGCGAATCGAGCGCTCCGCTAGCGTCCATGCTCGCGTCATGGCCAACGAATCTCTCTATTGGCTGGTGCCACAACGCGACCGCGAACGCCAGCGGATCGCTTGATTTGCAAAGCCTGGAGTCGGCTTAGCGAAGAGGTGAGAAGAATAGCACTTGCGAACGCCGCATGAATCGTCGTCCAAACTCCCATGTTTTCTTCGAGCAACCTCTCAGAGAAATGATAAGGGAATCGGTTAGGGTTGTTCGAAGGGTATTGCTGCAAAGTGATGAAATCATGAAAGTTATCACCACACCATTGCTACCCTGATCGCGTATATGTGAGCACTGGGTTTCGAATTGGTTCCGGACTGAGAATGAAACCAATGTTTATTGCTAATTGATGACTCATTG